TGGATATTTATTCTTCAATGGTTTGTGAATATGCCGAAATGGGTACATTTTGGCTATACAGCAAATTTTATTAGTTAACTCTCAATAATTAGACTCCTTTGTATTCATATGTTGGTCACTAAATTTGTAAAAGATGGCTGACAAGACACAGCAGTGCTGTTCTAGATTGCCTCAAAAATATGGACAGTTTAGTTTCGTTATCACTTCTACCTTTCTTGCATGTCTTTACATCCCAAAATTTTATGATCGATGCGGAAAACAGTTTGGTCCATAGTTGTGTAGTACCGAATGGTGAAAACTCAGTGAAGTCAGTGACAAGCAGAAAAGCGATGACTCTCCTGGTTGGGTGACAGTTTTGGAAACCCTAAGTACACGGGGGGGCATATGTGTTTCTTTGGAGATTTCCCGTTTTATCTTATTGTTTTTCAAGTACAACCTAGCTCAAATTTTGTCAAAAGAGCAGTGGCTTTGTCGTTACTGGTAGTGTCATCCTCCATATCAGAATGCATCAGTAATCCTGACCACCCGACACTTTCTACTGGCCTGGCTACGTACCAGTGAACAAACTAAATTTTCTCTGTCAAGTTACCAGCCTACATTTGCAATCTCTAGCGCATTAGACCCACCCACTTGCTCTTTTTCTTATCTGCACTAATGCTGCTACCAAATTAACAGCTGCACCGCGTTCTGTTTTTTCGCTTTCATGGACGTAGGACTTAAATTGTGGTTGATTTTTTCTTGCTTGAGATTTTACCTGCCCCTATTTATCCTTGTTCTTCGAATGCATGACAAGATGCTGCCAGGCAAATGTAACGAATGCGAATCTTAGCGGTTCAACAGACGAACTAGACGTATATTTGGTCCGGTAAAAGTGACACATTAGTCATGGCAGATTCAAAGTAGATTTCGTCCATAAATTAAAAAAAATTTGATGCACAATGATGATAATTGATCTCGAAAAATTTACAGTTATGAGGTGCTTTTCTGCTTTTTAACAAAGATTCAAAGTGATTTCGTCCATAAATTAAAAAAAATTTGATGCACAATGATGATAATTGATCTCGAAAAATTTACAGTTATGAGGTGCTTTTCTGCTTTTTAACAAAGCCTAACTTTACTCACAAAACAAAGTCTTGATAGAAAAATTACCATATCTCCTTACACCGTTAAAAACATTGCGGATGTTATATTAGTTTTCTGTCTGAATTAAAAAAATGAAGGTGAAACTTAAACCATACTTTAAAAAAGTTATGACTGCCAGAGAGGATTCTGTTGCTTTAGTGATTGTTTACTAACCAAATTCAAAATGGAATGCATGCAGAAGTGTTATATTTTAACTACAAAACATTTTTTATGTGCGTTTACCGGGCGTACCTCAAATAAGATTTTGCGGCTCGCATACATGGAGAGCACAAACCGTTCGTCATTGTGATGGATGCCTAGTTTTCTAAAAGAAGAAAATAAACCGTTTTTCATGAAAAAGGTTTTCTAAATTCCACAAATATCTTTATTTGCCTGATTTTTTGCAATTTCGGTTTAGGTAAAAAAAAGGCTGACGGAAACTTGGGAATTTCCCCTTCCCAACGAGCTCCAGGGAGAGCACAACTAATCCTGGGCAGCCTGGGAGATTTCAGCAACCTTATGAGTGACTTTCGGAATTCGGATTTTTCTCAGCTACAAGTATCAAGCTAACAAAGTAAGGATGGTCGTGTGAGATCCACGCAAAATGGAATGAACTGTAGGGTTTCAGCCAGAAACGGCGAGAACAGAAATACGTTTGAATAGCTGCTCTATAACGCAGAGGACAAAAAAGTAATAAGAGAATATTGATTTCATTCTGATATTATACCTGTTGACTAGAGGAAGCTGGTTAGCAGTATGTAACAACTGGGTTGGATAAAGAGAACTGCATTACATTAACATATTGTATTCAGGACATAGTTCATGAACTTTTTATGACCTTTTATGTAAGTAGGCTAAGATAACACCGGTTGTCAATCATACAATTTTCCATAGTCAAAACGAATAGAACGTAAAGATTGTCTGGTAATACGGTTTTGGGTTTTAAAAATAGGTAACCTGTGTTTACGAAAATCCACGAGTCGTTCGGGTCTTTCCACCAGATCATTTGGCATACAAAGAGAAAGTCAACAAGGGATAGTGTTAATTAAGCCTTCTAGTTATGTAATACTGCCCTTGGTTACTTTTTCCTTGTATGCCAAATAATCTGGTGGAAGATCCAAGTGACGTGTAGATTTTAGTAAATGCAGGTTATTTATTTATAAACCCCAAAGCGGTCCTACCAGCCAATGTCTGTGTTCTATTTGTTTTGACCATGGAAGATTGTATGACTGGTAACCGGAGTTATCTTGACCTACTTACATAAAAGGTTTATGACCTATTTTTTGAATACGATATGGCAGTGTGATTTAACCCTTGTGGTCAGAAAAGCAGTCTTCAGTAAATTTTGAAAAAATATGAATGTATTGGGGAGTTTATAGGTTTTTCCCAATGGCACATCTTAGTTTCATGGGGATTTTGTCCCCCTTTAAAAATGCGCCAAAAGTTGCGAGGAAAAAAATCGTCTGCATTAGGTGCTTTTCTATTAAAATTTATGGAGTTAGTAGCAGGTGTTGAAGCTAATATGTATTTCATCCAGTCAAATCTCATCTTTCTGAGAGTATTTTGGAACTTTCTTCGGGTTCAGTAGATTACGTCATATTCAAATCACTACTGCTATATCCCTTGTTTTCACGGTGTAGTTCAGTTAGCAACTTTCAGTAGCTCTTTGAAGGTGGAACTAGTTTTTCAGGTAAAAGTTGTTTTCTGCTGACCTCTTACGTTATGTCAGAATATAATTCATGACATGAACAACCAATCTCCGCTCAGTAGTCCTTTTTTGTTTCACCCGTAACATAATTGCAAATATTGTGCTAAAAATCAACAAGCACGTGCAGCGTATTTTCGGGAAACTCTCCAGAAAATGTAGTTTTGATCACTTGAAATATTTCCCCATCGTGGTTTTATTTCAAGGAAATAAACCTCCAGAACCTCTAGAATTTTCGGCTTTGCAAAGACTCAACTCATTCCTCAAGAGGAAACAAGTTAACCGTTTTGCATAACTGACTGAGGTTTGGTGATAGGCTATCGCTCCAAGTAGTTTACATCGTAAACACAACCGCTGCTTACTCGCCAGATCGGTTAGATTTCCCTGATTGGACCAAACTTTACGTGGCCGGCACTTTGGCTGTGTATGAGCCCAGGCACTGAGCCGTCAAAAAATTTCATTTTCACTACACTTTGAAGGCAATAAAGCTGACCAAACAAAAGAACTCAGAGCAACCCCGTGATGATTTAGCTGTTAGAGCTTAAGAGCGTTTTCTGTGCTAGATAAGATTGCATCTTTGTAATGCACTGCTTCGTTCTATGATTCTTGCGGGATGTACTTATCTGTCCTTCGCTGTTACCAAGGTAACGGAGGCTCAATATTATTTTACACCATCAACATGTTCTTTTTCGCGTCAGTCACAGGCATTAAAGAGTGATATATATACATATATATATATATAGCGTTTACCTCATTTAAAATGGAAGATTTAACCCCACCAAAAATACACCCGGAAGCAAGTGCAGTCTTATTTTCATAGTGCAGCATGATCGTTGTAAGTTTTCAAGAGTCAGGCGACTACGCCAAAGCAACACCTTCGGGTAGACGTCATTGAATCCTCTATGTTGTCGTCGGAGGTGACATACTGTGTTAACAAGGGCGCCATAATACTTTCACGGAAAAGGTGTTCCCAAGACCAACTTGTTACGTTGGGAATCTTTTATGACAACACATGGGAATGTATCTCTTACTGGACTCTATAGAGTGATGAAAAAATTGTTCATTAAAGATAGCGTAATTGTAGTAACCTGCGTCACTGATTTGTCTGCAAAAAATTAAAAAAAATACTAAACACAGTTGACATTCGTGGCTTTTGGGTTCTGCGTGAACAGCCGTATACAAAAAGTGACTAACCCATCATAATTTGGTCACAGAAATACTCACATCGTTCACTGTTTATGACGGCATCGTTGTATTCAATAAATTATCATTTGAGTTATTGGCGTAGAGCGTAGAGTGAACACTAATTCTAGCAACTTTACCACAAACGGTCGTAAGTAGTGTAGACAACAGTGTGCAAATAGTAGATTTTCCATATAATGCTTCAGATAGATCCTTGACGAGTGGGATTTCCGAGGGCTAAACTCCAAAGACAGCTTGGTTGTATTCAGCGGAATCAAACAACATGGAACACTAGCCTAGTACTAAACAGGACATAAATATTCTGGAACTAGTTTCTGTGCAATCACGTCTCCGATCCCTACAACTATGCGTAGCACTAATATTTCTGTTTCACTCATTCACAGTCAGTTTTATTTTCGCTGACATCTGATTCATCTGCTGCACTTGTGTCGAAACTTTCGAAAAACGTCAGTATTATCTGATAAATTGTCAGCGGAAAAATCACTTCAGTGAACCCGGTTGTTGTTCGGACCCTGTAGAACAAATGCGGTTTGTGCCGGCAAACCAACCTAGCAGAAGTTCACCTGATTCTCGGCGGTCTAGGTGGTTCCGCAAGGTGGCATACTGTTTTCTCCCAATTTACCAGATTTGCCACACTTTGAAGCAGACATTCACTCATTGCTTCCATCGGCCTATCGAACTTCCTTGTTGGTGGATCAATTTTGACGCGGCAAATTGTCATTTGGCATTCGCACATCCAATCGATTCCTTTCGTGCAGCGCCTACTTTAGCCAATGTTTGGGAAGATGTGCACATATGCGCAGGCGTTCAACCCAAAAAATATTGTGCTGTCCACCGATACGCGCACGCATGCACGCACACACACATTTTCACCATATGCATTGACCATACGTCAGACACTGCTGGTGATTCCATCGACTGCCGTTCACCATCATCGCCTGAAAATTTTCCCATGGTGTGCCGTGAGCGCAAACAACTCTGATCAAATCCAGCTCCTTAATAACATCATTTCGTCCTGAATTTCGTTTATTTCACACCTATCTGTGAACAGACAATTTCGACCTTTACAAAAGCTTGGTGACTTTTGTGAAGGACATTAGAAAGCTTTCGGATAATTTTCAGACAACCTGTTAACACGAACCAACAGCAAGCACTGACGAAGGAAACTTTTTTGAATTGTGGGTCAACACTCCATTTGTGATAGCGATCACAATCATCCAGATCTATTGGCTCAATCCGTTTATGACATTATTCTTGTTTCCGTGGGAATGTCAATAGAAAACCACCAGAGTGCCTATCATTATCGAAGTAGACCCCGTCCAGGTAAACTGTTCATCTTTTGTACACTGGTCACTTTGACATCTTTTATGGGATTCATCCTGTTAAATTATGAGCTACCAAACTGCCTAAAACATGTTGGCAGAAGCCAGGTCTTTCGGTCTGCATTTAAACAGTACAATTTTATAGCACTGTAGATTAACTGATTGACCCAGTGCATAATGGACTCGATATCTCATCGTTTTGTGTAGGTGTAAAATCTGCACTCTCTTTTCAACATTGTGTTGGAATAAAAAACAGAAACATTCTGACTAAAGTTAAATGAGCGGTTTTGTGCGAAGACATAATTTCCTTCATATTCCACAGATTTTTAGTTCAGCTGAATTAATTGTCATACTGAAGTCTGTGGGAGTTTAAAAACTGAAAACTTCTTAGGGGACATTGGTTTCACCAGTTATATTCATTTGACGCCACCGTTTCTTTATGCACAGGTGTGGCCGGTTCCATGGAATTTAAGCCACATGGGTGTTTTTGTCTTTATCAGGCCTACTAGGGTGCGTAGAGAGACCACATTTAAGACCGCTTCGCTAAAATTGCGGGATAACTGTGAACCACTCATCAACCTCCTGAACGTAGCGGCTAATAAATTTGATTCGACGTGTGACACTGTCCAAACGGCTGACGAGTGCGAATGCCTCAAGGCTTTTCCAAACCACCTCCGCCTACAAAACGAGCCTCATTGTGGATAGGAATGTTTGTGTGGTTTAGCAAATCAGGGTGCATACACGCAATGAGCATCCTGTAACATTCCAACTCCAAGGCATGATAAGCTTGCTAACCTGAGCATAGGACGACAAACTATCAAACAAAAGACCATAGATTCATCTTTATGGTTAGTTTGGATCAATGAACGTTCTTTTCATCTACTTGGTAGAGTACTGAATATCACGGGAAGAGTTTGATATTAAACACATTTCAGGCTTACCAGATGCAAATAACTCGTTCTACAGATTTAGCGGGTTCTTACCTTCTCCATACATAATGTTCCAATCATCAAGACGACCGGTGGTAATGTCATTCCAACAATAAGAATCATGTGACCTGTGAACTCACTAGACAGTTATAACGGTGTGTACTCATTCAGTGTTCTTTTGCTGACGGAGGCTAAATATTTCGGTATTATCACATTCGTTCGCAAATACCATCTTGTCTCTGTCGAGAGGTCACCCGAAAGAATCAACCGAAGTGCATCAATATGATAGTGAATCTTTCCAGAGTAAGAGATCAAAGTAGGAAATTGCTGAGAAGGGAAGTTCATTGGTTAAATAGACGACAAACCTGGGGACGAATACTAATGTCCGTTCTCCGTTGTGTCGTATCAACTTTTCATTTGTGGATATTCACTGGCTGATATCTATGGTGGTTAAGGAGGTACCTCACAGTGGTTTGCTGAGCGCTCATTACAAAGTTACGTTGCATGCAGCCCAACAGCTTTCATATAGATTAATCAGTTCTAGAAGCATACTTGAGCTTAGCGGGATAACCAAGATAGAAATACGTCAGCACTTAAGGTTGGCCTAGTTGGTGCGAGGCTAACGACAACGCAGGACCCGTTAAACGTTTCCCGCGAGAAAAGTGTGTATTCAGTTCATTAGCCTCAATCATCGTAGAATCTTCAGTCAACTGTATTCACCAAGATAGCTAAAACTGCACAGTAGTCACCCTAGTTACTCCTAAAATGCTCCCGGTTTAACGCAGATAATTTCTTACGACCGGATGCCTTCCACCAGCAATTCGAAATACTTAAAGAGGTACATGGTAAATCTTATTAAATTTGTTTGATGATGAGCCCCATAAAACGCTGTGCCGTGTCGCTGTCAACCTGATATGCATGCTGGCACAAATCAGACGTAAACAGTTCTTTGGTTACATCTTAGCTAACGTTTCTGAAAGTTTTGGCGATAGATATAGGCCTCATTCGATCACAAGTATACACAATTAGTTGAAAAGCAAGACAGAAAACTGATGTCTGCTTCATTTTTTCACCTGAATTTTGCACTTTAAACCTTAATGCATAACGAAATTTCACTTTGTCGCGCCAAGTGAGCTTTACAGTTGTAGCCAGAAAAACCCACCCTGTCTACTCAAGCCCCTTCAACTCAGTTTACACCAACTTCATACGACCAACGCTGGATCAAATAGTAAAATGTTCTATCTTTTCGATCGGATCCCATCCAATTGACGGTTCTTCCACTTTGATAATAACAAGTCACCTCTTTTCTGTTACAGTCATCTTACTGGTTCTACTTCCCCGTAGTTTAATTACGATTAATTAGCACATCGGTACTTGACTTCTTGGACGTTTCAGTACAACACGTTTGAATGCATCGCACAAAACGACCATTTTGGACAGAATCTGGTAGGACTTCACATGTATATTCAGTATGACAAATTTCACAGCATGTTATTATAGACTGCCAACGACAGATCATCATCATCTAAGGGCTAAATGCTTCTATTTTAATATCCTGATAAACACTCCCGGTTACACTAACTGCATTTCAACAAAAGCATTTAAGTGTTATGAAAATCAAGTGAAATAAAATAGAAATATAGTGAGTGTAAAGTAACAATCGAATAACATTAGACGTTTTTAAAGGGCCTGAAACTGTGATCCGGAGATGTGGTTCTTGTGCTATCGTCCAACCACTTTCTATTTTTGTCTTCTCTTTTTTACCTTTTCCGTTGCACACAGAGGATATTTTGCAACACAGATAATACACAAAGCCAAGGGGGTGGAGGCATCCATTACAAAATGTGGTAGATCACTTGACCTAATTTGCTCAAAACCATTGGATCAAGACTAATTAGTTCCCATAAACTAGTGATGAACTTGAATGTGATAATTGAATATTTGCCATCAATCATTTCATGCACTTTATAACACGAGTTTCTGATCACCCACAGGGTTTGTTAGAGTGAACATTTCATCCCTCAAAACACATTATCTGAGGCATTTTAGTCACAATGATGAATGAACATCATGACCTTACGATTCCTCACAATGAAACCGGAATTACAGTATTGCGATACGCCATGATTCCATAACCCAATTTACGACAGATTAGTATCTAAGGCAAGATATTTCGCATGTTCATAGCACGAACTACGGAACACCGAGGCAAATGGGGTACAAATGTTTCTGTTATCATATCACGTCCTACGCACATGGAAGCTTGAAATTCCGTCGATAAGTGTGCAACCACAAGCTTTTTAACATTGAATCTACACCCATAAACTTTAAGTGTACCACAGAGATCCCATAAACTTCTGCTCTTCTGTTATGTATGTCTATTGTACGGATAATAATTTTTCCCCCGCCAAGGCTCTTGACTAAATCTCTGACTAGGGTTATACTTAACCGAGCTTTTTTTCAACTTCAAGCCTTCAATAATTAGAGACGATGATACAGACGACCTTCGTTAGATAGAACGTACTACGACCGAAATTACAAAGTTTGACGCACCTTACTTGTGGTTAAAAATTTCGTGATTGTAGAGAAAAAGGGTGATAGCTCAAGTAGCGTAGATGGTCGTTGCTTTGTTAGTTGAGCTGGGCAATTCGATTACAAACGTTTCATCATTAATTGAGGTGACATTATCAATGTATTATTGGGGAGCGTAGTGATGAGTAGCGATCGACTGGTGGTTTGCAAGCGAATTGCCCCAGCTCAGCAAACAAATCAACGACCATATGCGATTTCTGGCTATTGGAGAATGTTTGTCAGTGCAACGTCGAAGGATAGCAAAATTCTTGACCTTAGTAGAAGTGAATGAAGTTTACTTTGGTTTTAATTGGAGCATATGGTTGACAGGAACCGCGCCTACTGAATAGCTACAAGAAGAGTAAAAACAGTCTTTCATTGCAGAAGAGTTTTTAGTAACACTGTAAGTATCTTCCGACACCAATGGGGTTAATTTTGATCAAGGTATTCTAAAAATTCTTAACAAAGGTTATAGATCGTTAACCGTAAGATAACGTTCCTTATTGATCAGACTTAATTTTTCGAATATTTCCATCCGGAAATGTGAATGAAAAAATTGCATAACTACAACAGCTTCTCCAAACTAGGTGGTTATAGAGGAGAGGCCAAAACCTAGAACACACAGAAAAATTACTATTGCTATTTGGCTTGTTTTTGAGCAGCAAAGCCTGCTACTGAAGGAATTCTTTCACCTAGACAACCTTTGGTGAATCCCGTGAGTTCTCGGTAAAACTGTCATGAGATCTAATGGCACACCAGAGGTGGAAATACCACTTCCCTAACGCCGTCGCGTAGGTTCATCATAAAATTGTCCACACATTGTTCCAACAGTAGACATCAGAAGTAGTTCCGGCCATTTTCGGATACTAGGTCGGAATCGCCTGCACCTACTAACGGGCGAGAATTTTAAACGGATCTAAAAGTCTTTTGTTTGGTGAGAAAAAGAGATAAAAAGGATATGCTTCACAATAGTCCATCTAAGATTCCACCGGATTTAGGTCGGAACGCCTGCACCGACTAACGGGCGAGAATTTTAAACGGATCTAAAAGTCTTTTGTTTGGTGAGAAAAAGAGATAAAAAGGATATGCTTCACAATAGCCCATCTAAGATTCCACCGGATTTTTGTTTTGCATGATATCTTTAGCGTACGCTTTTTAAGGCATCGACAAATGCTGTTACGGGCATTGTGCTTCCAGACATTTATCGCGTTACTTTGAGGTTATCTTGAGATTCCAACATTTGATCTGCACATTACTCGAGATCTCCTCAATTTTCAAGCTCCAAAGTTTACATAAAACAAGTTGATTTTATTAGCCAGAGGACTGTGTTCATGTGAATTATTTTTTGTTCACCAAGTGGACAGTATCTTTACCAAGTAACATTCTCGGTTGAGCGATATCTTGTTTTCCAATGTCACTCGGAATAAGGCTAGTTTAATTTTCTTTGACTTGTTCTTAAGTTTGGTGTTAGATTTTCCACTCTAAAGAACGTAGTACATAT